ACAGAATTCCGGTACATTTTGGTGGAAAGGCTGACCACAACTCCATTAGTGATATTCTACTGAAGAGACCGTCCAATGGAGTGAATGACCAGAATTGGGAATTCCTTTCTCTAGGAATCGGAGGTTTCGGAGGACTGAAAGTGTCGGTCACGAGAGGGGACAGTCAGGTGAACGTCAGTACTATTTATGGTTTGAGCGCCGGATCTCTGACTGTCGCTGAAAGTGAGACACAAAATGGCGAACAAATCAAAGACATTACTCAACCATTAGTTGACAAATGTATGCAAAATATTGTTTATTTAATTGATTATAAGATTTATTATAATTATATTATTCATTGAAATAGACGTCAAACCTATTGAGGAGAAAGATGGCGGTGACGGCACTCTAATAGTGGTGGCCGGAGAGGAAAGGGATGGCACTCTTGTGATCAATAAATCGGGACATTTGTCTGTCGGGTCTCTAAGTGGCTATAAATTGGGCGCATTTACGACGGTTTCAAAGCGCGGATAACTCTCGAGTTATTTATTAATTTATAATATTTATTATGTTTTAGTTTATTAATAATTAATATATCAATAAATATAGTTATGAATTCAAAGCAAATTTTTTCAATTGTGATAAATTTACAAATATAAAGTTAATATTCAGTTTATCACATTATCAGTATAAGTAAGTATCACAACAATAAGTAAACTTTAGGCCAAATTGTATCGTTTAAACTATAAATTAAACATAGAATTCAACACTTTTACATATCTTTAGTAATTCATTTGTATTACTTTTAATGTATTAATAATTTTACGAAATATTTAGTAAAATTCATTTTTTGAATTAATAATAATTACATGATATATAAATAAGCAATTGAAATTAGTTTGATAATTAGTAAAAGTGGTTTTGAAATTATTAATTTGCTGAGTTTATTGAGAATAATATTATATTTCATTATTATAAATCAACTATCCATAAATAACCAGTTATAATAATAAAAATACAGTACATGTATAAAATATAATGATTTAGAATCTAAGTTAGATTATAAAACATTTTTAGTAGCAAGTACAGTCCAGTTCATAAATAGTCAGTTAAATTTAAAATTTTAAGTTTTAGAAATATTAAAATCTAAATATGAATAATAATATTATGCAGAAATGAAGGTTTGTAGTATAAGATACTATCTGGGTTAGTTACAGGCACATTTAGGTAAAAATATACATGTATAAAATATAATGGTTTAGAATCTAAGTTTATTAGGTACAGTGCGTTTGGTTTATCAGTGTAAATATATTTTTATACATTTATTATTGAGTGGATTAAAAATTTGACGTAAATTTCCAATAGATATGTAATAATTGTTTAGATTTCAAAACATATGTCTCTTTCGGTTCATTCGGTTCTGTATTTCAATAAAATTAATGAAATCTTTTGTCTTAAATATATCTAATCTAACACTT